TCTCTAGACCCTAGCCGCTGGACCTTCTTCCATCTTTCATTGTTGAGGTGAGCTATCCAGAGCATTACAGGATACTTGTTCCTTGGGCCACTTTCATGACAGTGTTGTGGCATTTCCTGAAAACTGTTCTTTAAAATGAAGGGAAGGGGGGAAAAAGCCTTTCCCTTATTAAAGAAGTTGGATTAATACAGTTAGGAATAAAACAATGGCCTACGCTTTGCTTGATGATGCAGAGATGTCACGTTAGATTTTGGAGTTTAACCAATAGTACATCTGTCCTCAAGTCTCCTACGATCTGGAACACAGAGGAAAGATAACTGAGGGGCATCCAAGAAATGCTCAAAACAATTGCACAATTGTCTTAGTTATCAGTTTGTGATGACTTTATCCTGTGTCAGAAAAACCATTGTATATGTTGGTGTAGGCAGGTTGCTTAGAGCAGCTCTCCTAGAAATATAATATGGGCCACATGTATAATTTAAAATTTCCTAGTAGCTTCATTTAAAAGAAGTTAAATAGGTGAAATTAATTTTGATAATTATTTTATTTAAGTCAGTGCATCCAAGATATTTCTACCTGCGGTTGATTTTTAAAAATTATTCATGCTATATTTATTTGTTTTTTGCTATTAAATCATTGAAATTGAGTGTGTATTTTACACTTACAGCACATCTCAATTCAGGACTAGTCACATTTCAAGTGTTTAGTTGCCACATGTGGCTAATAGCTACCGTAGTGGGCAAGCAGTTTTAGAGTATAAAATGTGTTTTTAATACTTTCACCCTTTTGCTTGGGGCACATTGAACATCTTAAGTAATTCAATGATTATGAGTATCATTTTTATTCTGAAGAAAAGCTTTTTAGTAAGTTTCATGAGCATTGATTATGGACACTGAAAAAAATTATTGATTCCTTATTTTCCTCTGTATTAATGGTATTAATTAATGGTATTAATACTGATTTTGAAAAAAAAGAAAAACAAATAGGTTCCATTGTTTGAGAACTGTCAGACAACTATTTCACAGAGTTTAATCCTCACAGCAACTCTGTGATGTAGACATTATTATTTGCATCTTACCTGGGAGGAATTTGAGCCTCTGAGAGGTCAAATAAATTACCCGAGCTCACTACAATAGGTAAAGAATGACAGTGCCAGGATTTGATCCAAGAGTTGCCTGCCTCCTTATGCAGAGCTAGTCACCACCACATTTGACCATCTCCCATTTGTCTCTATTCCCATGGCTGCCGTGGTGAAGATTAGGTTGCCTTTGTAATCATACACACTTTTTCAGAAATAATGTCACAATGAAAATGACAGTTTGAGCATTGGATCTAATGACAGTTGGGAAATGCATTTTTCTAGTGGAAGGAATCTCCTGCTCATTTTGCCTCAGTGCCAACAGAATTCACCATTCATCCCAATTGTCAGAACAACTCTTAATTCTTAGCAAATGGCTGGGACTGTGTGCTGTCCCTTAGACAAAACTACCTGCTTTAACCTGCCACAATTGTAAAAAGCTTAGCGAGGCTTATAATCAAAAGGTTCAAAGTTCCCTACTTGATCATCTGGAAATGGGTCTGTGCTACAATAAAAGAAAAATAATGTCATAAGTTCCAGATACAGGGCTAGAATAAGAGTTTCTTTCTTTTTTTTCTTGATCATTTCTAAATTTTATTGTAAATACATTTCATTTTTACATTGTTATTCTTTTATTGGAACTTACCTTTTAATTCTTCCCATTCTTATTTTTTGAATTGCTTTTCAAATACTCTCGCTATCTTTTTATCCACTGCCACTTTTTTCTTTTTCTTTCTTTTCTTTCTTTCTTCCTTTCTTTCTTTTCTTTTCTTTTCTTTTCTTTTCTTTTCTTTTTTCCTTTCTTTCTTTTTCTTTTTCTTTTTTGCCTGGAGAGAGTGAGGAGGGGGGATCAAACGGAATGCCTTTTTTTGATATATATTCCTACTCATCCTTTTATAGTTTTCTTTGCCAGGGATTTGCTGTTTTTAAGTTTTTAAAACCTATGCCTTAATTTTCTTCTTCCTCACACTTGACCCCAACTGGACTGTTTTACCATTTTTCATTTCTCTTGCTGTTGTCACTAGTAATCACACCTATTTTTCCTCTTCTTTTGTAAAAATTGTGTTTCATTGTAAAAATTTCATAATTGAAATTTGAAATTTGATTCATGAAATTCTAGTAAAAAGGTACATTTTTCTTTATATAATCCGTTTATTTTTAGTAGCTCATATATATATACTTTCAGAGTAAATTCTATTGTCATACACTTCTGGTTAATATTGTTTTATTTTATAAATGACTTCAAAATCCTTTTCTTTTCCTTTCTCTTCTTTTCTCTGCCTTGCCTTTTCTTTCCTTTCCTTTTCTCTTTTCTTTTCTTTTTAAGTAGGTGATGCTGTGAAGGATCGGTGCTTGCTTTTTGACTGGAAGGAGTTATTGCTCTCATGTCAGATAACGATTGCTTTCTTTAATCCCTGGACTAAACTGTTTAGGAAATATTTTGATAACTGACACTTTCAAAACATAAGTTCCTGAATGGTATAGACCCTTGTGCTTTAATGTTGTATTTCATTTCTTACTCACTGAACTGTTATTTTTAAAAATTAATAGGGTCTTAGGTTTTTTTTTTTTTTTAGTTGACTATAGACTTGAAAAAGATTTATGGTTCCTAAGTAATGGATACATGATAGCTTATGAAGGCAACTGGATTCATTGAAAGGCCTTATCTGTGATTCCCAGATGTGTGACACTCAGATGTTGACATTAGGAACTGCACATGGATTTTCAGCATTGAAACTTATGTACACATAGGTATTAGTGGTGAAGTAGCTTATGGCACCACTGACTACATGGCCCTATGTGTGCATACGCTGAAATCATTACAAGTAGAAATCAACCTGCTTCCTTGGACAAAGATCATATACCAGTATGTAAGAGTTAAAAGGTCTAAATGGGGGCTATTCCCTGCTGGTAGGGACTCTGATGGATAGGTCCTATAAAATGCCATTATGCTTGCTTAGGAAGATTTTACAGCACCTTCAACAGCATTGAGGGCAGGAGCCACATCAGACTTGTTCTTACTTGTGTCTCTGAAGCCACAGGGGATACCTGGCACACAATAGGTGTTCAGGGAATAAAAATTGGATAAATGAATGAGCACAAAGATAATTTGGAGGCAATGTAATTTATAGTGTTCATTTCATGTCTTACCTACATTTGGGAATAAATTGGGCATAAGTAAGTAAGCGTTTGATAGACTAATACTGGTCACAATTCTAAAAAATATTTTATAAGGCACCATGTGGCCAGGCTAAATTTCCTTCTTTGTCTAAAATAGTCTGCTTCACCCTTATTTCCTATTTTCTATAAATCTGTACCATAGATAGTGTATTTGCTACAAACAATAATGCTGCCTTATTGTTCTTGAGAGTGAACACGGAGTCAGTAGTTGTCCCGGGGAATGGTATGGTGTGACTTGTTAGACTGTTGTGCTGGCTTAATAATAATTACCATGATCCTTAATGATAACAATTCTTAATGAGTATTATTATTGTTAATAATGATTACATTTAATAATTACACCCTATACTTATTATCTTTAATAATAATAATTAGCACATGGGAACCAGTTGCACCATTGTATTATCTTTAGAACAAAAATCTGCATCTGTGACCTGGTAGTTTGTAGGGTGTCTGCTCCCACCTTCTGCTTTCCAGATGAGAGTGAGTCAGGAGGCTTCTAGGGTCTAGGCAGAGGGGAGGGGCTTTTAGAAAAACTCCTGTGTAGTCTGTGTCTCACAGGCAGAACTCCCATGGGTCATTTACACAGAGGTCTTATTTTTATTGTAAAGTGCCTTCAGCAATGACCAACTAATTGTCCACCCCCCCCATCTCTCAGCTTGCCCACCTGTCCTTCATAACTTTTGGTTTTCTTGCACGAAGAGAGAAGACCCAGAACAGATCTTATTCCATAACATACTAATTTGTGTGAATTACATGGGGCAGAGTCCATGTTTATTACTTGTATGTTGGTAAAACTTTGATCTTCTTATGCCTTGGCTATGTTTAGATTTAAATGCCTGTATGACTTTTTTAAAAATAAAAAACAGTTTATAAAAAAATCTTTGGTGAATTAAACATTTTTTAGCTTTTCACACTTTGATACAAAGCAGAGAAATATTTCAGTGACAACAGATTTCAACAGATTTTCAACTAGACTAATTTGCTTTATTCTTTAGGGTAGTTTACTTCTTTTCTCTGAAAACACAAGAAGAGATAATTCCCTTTATAGTGGTAACTGGTGTTAATATGTAAAATAATAATTTAAAAGAAGACAAAGTTTTACATTTGGTTGCGTGTTTTGACATAAGTTAAATGTCAGTTAAGATTTTCGTGAGCAAGATATTTGCAGACTAATTGATGACCTGTTTGCTGGGACTTAGATAAAAGATACAAGAGGGACTGTTAAAAAATTCCTATTGGCTTTCTTAGACATAGTCACTTGATAACTTAGGCCCCGAAATCAAATATGCCTCTCTACTAGGTATCTTACAGCATTTCCAGACAAAAGCAGATCTGATCTGGAAATGCTAGTCCCGATTAATAGTTAATGACAAAACCATAGACGTGAAGGTTATGAGGGTCTGGAAGGTCATCACCTTAACCTCAGCTTTGTGGCAGCTCTGGAGTTAGGGTCTCAGGCAGGACACCTCTGATGGGCACACTCCACATTTTAATGACTGGAATCTGAGGGCTTCTGCCTTTGCCCAGGGCAATTCTGCTGCAGTCTGATAGTAATAAGGAAGGGGAAAAAAAATCCACAGCTTTCCCATTAGGCCCATCCAACTAAGAGGCTTGTTTAATCTAAACCATTGTCGATCACAGATGAGTAACTTTTATAACTGCCTCTTCCCTTCTCATCACGGTGACTGAGATTTGCTTTGTAATGTTTGTGTTTTGCTCTTGAATTTTGTCTCTTCAGGTTTGATGATTCCTGTCTTTTGTGTAGTGGAGCAGTTGGATGGCTCTCTTGAATATGACAACAGAGAAGAACATGCAGAGTTCGTTCTGGTTCGAAAAGATGTGCTTTTTAGCCAGCTGGTGGAGACCGCGCTCCTGGCCCTGGGATACTCCCACAGCTCTGCTGCTCAGGCACAAGGTAGTACTGCGTGTCCCCTCCTCTCCTCTCCCCATGCCTCTGTGTGTCATGATTTGAGGAAGAATGTGTTTCCTGAAATAATTTTCCAAACAAGGGTTGAAGAATGGTCAGGTTTAACATCTTTTCCAAACAGCGAATAGCAGAATGTTTCTTGTGGCGTCTTATTTTCTGGTTGCTTTGGGAAGCATTTGACCAGCACCTCTAGAGCCACCAAAATAAACTTGCATTTTAAAGTGATCATCTTAGTTTTGTTGGCATTGATAACTCTGGTATTCTCTCTAAGTCCCTAAAGTGGGGTTCTCAGAGTGCGGAGATGTTTGATCCTAACTTATCCAAACTTCAGTACAGGATTTATAAGCTTTCAGTTTTCTAAATTTATTTATTGCTTTTAGGCCTGCAGCTTCTGCACTTTACAATCAGCTTTTAATTAAATACAAAAAAAATGGATGCATTTTACAAAACTTTTGTATCTTTGAAAATTGCTCTGTAGTTTTAGGGTAGTCCATTCAGTAAAAAAAAACAAACAAAACAAAACAAAACAACAACAAAAATCTCAGTGTTTTTGTGATAATTCATTTTATCTATTTAATTAAATATTAAAATTGCATCATTATTTCCGTGTGTATTGTACAGCACTGGCGAGCCCAGCCCATTGTGAGCTTGTGTTGCTTCACTCTGAAGCATAGCCCATTGTTCTTTCATGGCAAAGAATTGACAAAACAAATAACATAAAAATATCCCCCAAACCTTGAAAAATGAAAAAAAAAATTGACCTAATGGAATGATTGTTACTGTATTTAAGCTGAAATGATTGAATTGTACAATTTATGATAATGTGTTATAACCAAAGGAGAGACATATGTAACTTCCAGGTCTTGTTTTATATATTAATTTTCTATATTATTATTCTTACTTAACGTTGGTATATGTGCCACAGATTTTTGCAACTTTTTTTATGAGTCCCTCTAAATATAATTCCTAGGAATTGTCAGTCAGAGCCTCCATTTATTCAGATAAGAAAACTATGAGAGATTAAGCAATATATACAAAGTTACAAATATGGTGACCGAGGACATGGGATTTAATATCCAAGCCCTTGACTCTGATTCTGTAAGCAGATCATCACTGTTTAAAAAATGTTTAAGTATTTAAATTAGATTTTAATTCTACCAAGAAAGCAACCCACCTGAAACCAGAGGTCAAGAATGTTTTCCCAGGGCAGGTAGTAACCCCATGGATCATTATGAGTCCAAGCGCTGTCTGAATCCGAGCGCTTGGCCTGTCGGGTGCAGTAATAACAGCTGAATTGTCGAGTCCACTGCTTTCAAAGCAGTGTGATAAAGGATGATTCATTTCCTTTCTCTGACGACTTTCTTTCTTGTGTAAGGGATTCAAGATTTGATCCCGAGCAAATTGCATACTGGGCACCATTGCTTTTATTTTATGCTATGTGCCTAAATGAAATAAAAGAATCCCTCCTCCTCCCCCCCATAAACTTTTCATGCCATTTTAGGGATTTTTTTTTCTGAATGTAAAGGTCATTGTATCCCACTGCTTGCATCCTGGTGTGCCAGCTTCCTGTTTGACAGGGCTATCCATCTCAGTTAGCACGGTTGCTCAACACGCCGTGAGCTCACATGTGGAGCACAGAGCACTAAGTGGCCAAGATTTGATTCTTGGCACATGCTCAGGGAAGGGGCTCTCAGGAAATTTGCACTAGGGAGCCACACTGTTCCATTCAGTGATGTGGACTGAGAGTTCTACCCACCAGGGTGAGATAGATACAGTAGCAAGGGATATGGTCTACAGTGGAGGATTAAACAGGAGAAAAGTCAAAAGCAAATACTTGCTTCCCCAAAGTTTTTGAAAACCATGGTTAAAAAATACTGAATGTTACACTTTTAAAAAGTTGAATCAACATTCTGAAGGTACTCTAGATCACAGTTAATACTTTATTTTGTAGGTAAACAAAGGTTTTGGTACTAGGTCCTGTACTGTAATCTTAGAGGGGAAAAAATGCAGTTTCCTTAGTTTTAAATTAGGCTGCTGATCTCTGTTTTGGGTACATGGAAAAACTTGGAATTGTTTATTTTGAAATGAATGTATTAGATCTTTGTTGTCATTTAGATCATCAAACATAGGCAATTCGCTGCATGTTTATTATAGACCAAACAGAATGCATGATAAGACTGGTCATTTGTGTGCTGGACAAGCAGCAGCAGAGTGAGAGAAAGCTAGAAAAGGAGGTAGAACAAAATGTGACTGCATATTCGAAGTCTGAGTTTGTATGGTTCTGATTTTCTGTTTTGTTTTGATTTTGTCTGTTCATTGGTTAGGTAATTCCCCCAAGTTGGGGAAGTCATTGGGTGACCTAGCAAATCCATTTGCAGCAGAGAAACTGAGCGTTTCTGAACTTCTTCCTACGTTGGGAAACTTGGACAGAACTAAACTGCAAGGAGAGTGGGTTGCTTGAGCCTATATTTATTTATTTGTTTGTTTGTTTGTTTATAAAAGATTTATTTCTTTATTCTAGAGAGGGAGAGCACGTGAATGGGGTTGGGGGAGGGACAGTGGGAGAGGGAGGGAGGAAATCCTAAGCAGGCTCCGTGTTCAGAGTGGAGCCTGACTCAGGGCTTGGTCTCACGACCCTGAGCTCATGACCTGAGCTAAAATCAAGAGTTGGGTGCTTAACTTACTGAGCCACCCTCGCACCCTGAGCCTATTTTAAAAATTAAGGCTCTTGAAACATGATTTTTTTTATTTTGACATGCCCAGAAAAGAGTTTGGAGGGTATTGAAATTGCCTTGAAAAGAGAAAATACATTAGCAATATCATTATTTTGGAGTGATACTCAGGTCCTAATGACAAGATAGTGCACCCATGCTTTTGTGAGTGTGGGATAGTCAATTTCTTTTTTGAGAGGACATTCCCTCCAAGTGAGCTTAAGAGACTTTATTAAGAAAGAATATTTGCTTCTAAAGGATGAAGAAATTCCGCTAAAATGGAGGTCAGGGATTTCCAACACTCTCCCCCCTCCCCTTTGATAGTAACCTTTATTTGAAGCCACATATTGGGACTCCAGAGAAGATAAGGGCAAAAAATACTGTCATAAGTGATGGGCATGGTGCTTCTAACCGAGCCAAGCCCTCCATTTGCCAGGACACACACCATTAACTCTCTGTGATTCTCAAGGACGAGAGATCCAGGATACATTTGACCTGCTGTTTTACATATGCAAAAAGTCAAAAGATACCAGGCGTTTTGCTTTTCCTAGAGTAGGCAGTCTAAGAGATAATGAGTAGCAAGCACATTTTATGGTGGACCAAGAGTCCGTATCTTTGAATCAAAAGTCTTCCTGGTTTTGAAAGAGGAATGTTAACCTAGGAAATTGCTATGTAGCAACCCTACCCACTCCCCCAAATTAAACTTGGTCATTCCCTTTCTTCTTTCTTCTTTTCTTTTCATCCTTTCAGTTCTGCTCCATACAGCTTTTGGTAATAACTATGGATCTCTCCACGTTATTGAGAGAGTTCTTTATCCTACTGATTAAGTAGCTATTCATAGGTGCTAACGTAGATGGTGGATTTGGGGAGGTGGCGGAGATGGCAACGTGAGTCCTCACTGTGTACAATTGACTAAATTTGTAAGTGGGCATCTTATTTCTCCTCTGCTTCCTATAAATTTTAAAGTAACTTGTAGAATTTTATTTATATATATTTTTGAGGCATAATTGACATAAACATATTAGTTTTAGATATATAACATAATGATTTGATATTTGTGTATATTGTGAAATAATCACCCCAATAAGTCTAGTTAACATCCATCACCACACATAGTTGCAGAATTTTTTTTCCTTATCATGAGAACTTTTAAGATTTACTCTCTTAGCAACTTTCAAACATACAATACAGTATTATTAACCATAATCCCCATACTGTATAGTATATCCCCAGGACTTATTTATTTTATAACTGGAAGCTTGCACCTTTTGACTCCCTCACCTATTTTGCCCACCCTCACCCCCACCTCTGGCAACCACCCATCTATTCTCTGTACCTATGAAGCTTGGTTTTTTTTAATTTAATTTTTTCTTTTTAAGATTCCACTTAGAAGTGAGATCATACGGTATTTGTCTTCTCTGTTTGACTTACTTCACTTAGCATAATGCCCTCAAGTTCCATCCGTGTTGTCACAAATGACAAGATTTCTTTCTTTTTTTGTGGCTCAGTAATATTTGTGTGTGTGCATGTGTGTGCCACATTTTCTTTATCCATTCATCCATTGATGGACACATAGATTGTTTCCATGTCTTGGCTTTATAAATAATGCTGCAGTGAACATGGCTGTTTATATCTTTTCAAGTTCGTTCGTTCTTTCTTTTTCTTTCTTTCTTTCTTTCTTTCTTTCTTTCTTTCTTTCTTTCTTTCTTTCTTTCTTTCTTTCTTTCTTTCTTTCTTTCTCTCTCTCTCTCTCTCTCTCTCTCTCTTTTGTGTTAGTATTACCTTTTCGGTAAATACCCAGAAGTAAAATATCTGGATCTATGGTAGTTCTATTTTTAATTTTTTTTTATGATTTATTTATTTGAGAGAGTGAGAATGAGAGAGAGAGAGAGTACATGAGAGGGGAGAGGGTCAGAGGGAGAAGCAGGCTCCTTGCCGAGCAGGGAGCCCGATGCGGGACTCAATCCTGGGACTCCGGGATCATGACCTGAGCCGAAGGCAGTCGCTTAACCAACTGAACCACCCAGGTGCCCTTATTTTTAATTTTTTGAGGAACCTCCATACTGTTTTTCACAGTGGCTGTACCAATTTACATTCCCACCAACAGTACATAAGTGTTCCCTTTTCTCCACATCCTTGCCAATACTTGTTATTTCTTGTCTTTTTGATACTATGCATTCTAACAGGTGTCAGGTGATATCTCATTGTGGTTTTGATTTGCATTTCCCTGATAAGTAGTGCTATTGAGCATCTTTTCATGTACCCGTTGGCCTGTAT